CAACTTTTAGTTAGAAAATATTATTAGATTTGATTATTTAATTTTATTATTTAAAAGTAGTGTATAAGCCACAATTGCCCTCAGTAACTTTATTCTATCTACAACTGATGAGACTGTATGCCTACATTACAAAGACATAAACTTGCATTTGATTTAAAGCATTCTTTTGGAACAATCAGGTCACCCGGAATCAGATTGTCGGTGCAGAAGCAGCAGATTTGTATACAAACATCATTTATTATATCATTCTATTCCCCTCCTGTACCCCCTTACTCCCATCCCCCCAACCCAATAGAAGTACAGTCTCTAACATTCCTGATGAATCGGAATCGGATAAAACTTAAATTATAATAACATGAATAAGAATCTAAGTTCAGTTCAAATGTCAAATGTTTAAAAAGTTCTTTAGGTTTCATGTGAATCACTTAAAAAAAAAAGCCACCATATTGTTACATCAAGTGTAACCATCAACATTACATCATCAAATATACTCATACGAAGACTAAAGTGGTCTCATTGTATTTGTGTTTCAAATCCTTTCATATAAATCATTCTGAAGTGTGATATAAAAACATTTCTTCTGTTCTAAAGAGTTTTGCTAAAGCAATCAAAACCTATTCCGAAAACTAACCACTCCCCAAATCTTATTTGAATTAATCCTGTACCTTGTTATCAAAAAGTTTTTCTTGAGATATTCTAGCAGGCAGAAAGAAGCAAATAGGTATGTGTTAACTAACAGGGAGAACACAGCACAATCAGGGTACGTATGAAGAGTTATTTGTATTTTGTTACACTTTGACAATTGTTTTTTCAGGAATTTGGTGAGTGCGTCACAGGATGGTAAATTAATTGTGTGGGATTCATATACAACTAATAAGGTTCATGCCATTCCATTAAGATCAAGTTGGGTAATGACGTGTGCCTATGCCCCTTCTGGTAGTTACGTGGCCTGCGGTGGCCTGGATAATATTTGTTCAATCTACAGTTTAAAGACGAGGGAAGGAAACGTCAGAGTTAGCAGGGAATTACCAGGTCACACTGGTAAGTTTGCAACCATTGATAGGTTGTTGTCGGTGTTGTGTTGGTTTCATTGTAAGATATTGCTGGTGAAATATGGTCAGAACCGAGATGGAGGCTTGTTGTTTTGTTAAATTTGTGTGCAAATCTTGTCCTTTGTAAGTCAGACTTCATCCACGACCAGTATTTCATCACCGTTGATGTCCTTGCAAGCATGGTGCAGACAATTTATGCAAAATTGGCCAACCTGGTTAAAATGGCAGGGCAACATCAAAATAAACAAGTTACTTAATTTGATAGGAATGGTTTGTGGAATCTGTACATCGTAATTTGTTGCTACTCTGAACTTGTACCTTATTTGCGCTTGTGTAAATGACAGGTGTCTATGGTCGAAATAAGTCATTTAAAATAACTAGTTTACAATACATTCAAATGATGAATTTACATATGCTATTGGAGATGAACTTCTAAAACAGCAAATATGGTATTCATTTTGCTTTAACCTATGACCTATGAACACCATCATAATACAAGATTTGTTCTGCCCGATATAAAACACTATTTTGCTCAGATTATACATTCTTTTCAAAAAAGCTACTGGTGTGGTGGACTATTTTAAGCCAGCCAGGACTTAAAGGGTCATCCCATTCTGATGCTCCTTGGTATCCATAAAAGTATTCACTCCCAATTTCAGTTGTTAATTGAGGCATTTTCATAAATTATGACCTTGAAATATTAGGTCATTACAGAATGCAGACACTTGCTGATAGATAACTTTGAGGGAAGTGTGCCTATGTTTAATTATACAAATATGTAACCTTGAAATATTCCCTACTGTATTTTTACTGTTATAAAGGTTACTTGTCATCAGCATTATATCATACTGATGCAGTAGGCAGGAAGTAAAGTTTTATTTGCCCATCTGCCATCTTTGAGCTGTCACACCATGGCTTCTGTGCATGTAGTTTTTGCTGTGAATGCTTTGATATACATGTATATACCGTACTCGACCCGTGTTACTCGGTGTCCTCAACTCCGCACTTACCCAAGCACCCCCTCGGAAATGAATGCAACTGACAATTTTAATTCACCTATGTGACAGATTGATTCAAAATTAGTTGTGCAGTCATTGGCTTTTAAAATGAAGAAACAGAAATGGTCACAAAAAATATCCACATTTTATTACAATATTAATTATGTACCACCCAAATTCACGAGGTTAAAAATATTAGTCTGTTGGAACACAAAGTCAAAATCTTCATCATTGTCGAATGTGTTGGATCGTACACAAACTCTCGATAAAAAGCACTTTCCGCCATGTTTTCTCGCATGATTTGATCTACAACCTCTGACCTAATGGGTCAAGTCTGGCTTAGCCGAGCATGGGCACTAAGTCAGTCGAGTATGGTATCTACTGTGTTAAAAAATTCTAGTACTCTAAATACTCTATTTTGCTATTTGACAATCTTGTTTACAGGCTATTTATCATGCTGTCGTTTTATTGATGATAACCAAATTGTAACTAGTTCCGGTGATATGTCATGGTAAGTTCAAGACGATGTTCAGAACCAATTTGTCAATGTCGTCTTTTATCTGTTTTGTGTGGGTGTTCTTCTTGCTTCTCTGCATGCAAGAGCTTTGTTGCAGCAGTGGATGTGTTCTCATGCAGGCTCAGTGTTAATATTTAAAAAAAAACAATCCTCACTGTATCAGCATGCGATCCAATTCTTTTACAGCAGGCGAAAAATACTTTCAAACATCCAACCTCCACGCCAGGTAGGCAGTTACCAACGGGCATTGTAACATCCCTAGACACTTTCCTTAGAATTTGTATAAGCGATTATCAAAGCACTGGACACTATGTCCTTTGATATGTGGTCGCATGCATATGATGGTATAGTTTGACTAATTCATTGCTTTTGTAGGTACACGAAATATTGCTGTCACACTTGAAAGAAATGTAATAAGAACATAAAACATTAATGGATATTAACATGTAATAATAATAATTGTAAATTCTGGGGAATAGTAGTTTGTTGATATTTGATCTTATATTAGTAATAGTAGCATGATGTCACATTCACAGTTTCCCACATAATGGAATTTCCCGTTGCCTAATCAGTCTTTCCCTGGAATCTTTCACTTTTAGTTTTACCTCTATATCGTCACAATGTACCTGTTCAAATATCTCAAGTTTTGCAACAACATACAATGAATTTGAACGTTTTATCAGAAGTGATGTTACTAGGCT